TATATATATATATAGGTTATATTTGTGCTGATCAATAAATAAAGGGAGACTAGTATAGATCTATTTCTTGTGAAACATCCAGCCCACGGAAATTGTGAATGTTGCGTTTTAAAAGTGTTGTCTTTGTCTATTTATCCCCCTTCCCTTGTCTATTGTGAGCCGCCCAGAGTCCTTCGGGAGTGGGCGGCATACAAGACAAATAAATACAATACAAATACAATGCTTGCACGAATGGTTGCCAAGCTAGAAAGATTGGGGACTGATGGTCTAAAAGCAATATGATTTTGTTCAACAGTTCTTTAGAATGCATTTGTAAGTAAATAGCCATCAGTAAACACTGTTCCAGATATAAAAGAAAAATCATCTACCTTAATTGTGCTAGTGTGAGCTCCAGGATATTCTTTTTCTTCCAGGGTTGACCAGCGCTGTATAAATTTTGACACCAAAGGATCATCATAGTCTACTATTTGAAATCCTGACACATTAGCTCCTCCAAATTGTATTTTGGATAAATCTCCATCAGTAAATCCCTGGGTATGGAAAATATACATTTCAGTTGCATAATGTTCTCTGTTTTTATGGATATTTTGCATTTGTATGTGGTTCAGAATCCATAGGCCTTGGAAATTTAAATTGAATAAACAGACTTCAAAAATAACTTATAAAGAAACTTCTGCCATGCACTTTCATCAGAGCTCCTACAATCTATCAGCTAGAGAGATTTTAGGTCTGTATTTTAATGTAGAACTTTCAAGTGATGTAGACAGAATAAGGGAATTCTCAACCTATGATTATAATTGGGATCGTACACCCCGCTGCTGACCAATATTGCCATTAAATGAGTCACATCTGATTCTGTGTCCTTTTTTGGCTGTGGTCATTAAGAGAATCCAGCTTCGCCCATTGACTTTGCTTGTCAGGAGGTCATAAATGGAGATTATGTAACCCTAGGACACTGCAACCAATATAAATATGTGCTGGTTGCCAAGCATTCAAATTTTAATCATGTGACCCCAGGGACACTGCAACAGTCATAAGTCACCATTGTAATTTTGAATAATGATAAAAGAAGTGGTTTTATACTGGCAACCAGCTCTACTCTAAAATTTCAAATTCTGGAATTTAAACCCCAGCTTTTCCATAGGCTTTGCATACACACACACACACACACACACACACACACACACACACACACACACCAGTGGTGGGTTTCAAAAAATTTTGGAAC